CCCTCCATAGTCAAAGTCGCATCAATGTCCATTTGTATACTTGGAGGAGTAGGAGTAAGAAGATAAAATGACGGACCATCATAACCAATACTGTCTCTCTTTCTTTTCCTTGTATACTGGTTAAGATCGTCATCATTGGTGTCCTCTTTGTTTTCCTCTGCTGGAGACACTAAATATATATATATATATATATATATTCATATTAGTTTTCTGCAATAGGTCAAATGAAGAGACAGAATTTCAATTGTACATATAATAATTAGGGAACAATCAGTACCTGTCTTCTCCGCAGTACCTTCTTGTGTTTTTTCAAGAGACAACTCAGCTAAAATATTGCGTGCATCATTTTCTTTTTCTTGAAATTCCACATTTTCTTTATCTTGCAGTTGTTCACCGTGATCTTTAGATGCTTGTTGACAAGATTCTGCAAAAATATTTACAACAGCTAACATGTTAATAATCTTTAATTAAAACAAACATATATAAAATTAAAAAAAGCGCTGCCTAACCATTTGCAATATCCAAGATCATTCCAGCTACATCATCATCATCACATGTTGCATCTATCGACCAATCTCACTTCTGCCTATGTCTAGAGATTGTAGTCCAGTTTTCTCTTGATACTGCACTCCAGCTTCTTCGCTTGCTGCTTCAAAAGATACAATATATAATGAAATAAAGATACAATATATAATGAAAAATTTATCTAACCTTGACTGGCACAAGTTAGAACTCCAAATTTTTCTTTGTATGACAACGGTGTAGAGAGATCATACGTTCCTTCTAAGCATTTGCATACAATCTTGCTGACACTTGTCCCCAATGGACTTGTTAAATCCTCCTGTGATTGCAATCCACAAACTCTACAAATTTTCTCCGGCACTCCACAAACTTCTGCATGCACATGCATAGTTTATATGTATTAATCTATTGAATATACATTTCAACGAAAATAAAAATCAAAATCTATAACTAACCTTTCCCAATATCAGTAACATTTTCAGTTTCATCATCTAGATGTGCATCTCTAAATTCTCTTTCATACTGACCCTCTGCATGCACATCCATATCATCACGTTCAACACCACCTGCATCTTGGTTGAATATGCCAGTACGCTCAGTAGCACGACAATGATCATCAACTCCATATTTTCTAATTGGAACACTAGATTCTCTATCTGTGTTCATCTGATCAGCTTTCCCAAACATGTTCATCAAAGTATCAAGCTTTGATCCTAGAGTTTTCTTTAAATTCTGAGAAAGCAACTAAGTTACAAAGAGAAAGACATGTTTAAAACTTAAGGACATGCAGTCCTTAAGTTTGAACTTAAAGTTCAAAACTTAAGGAAATGCAATCCTTAAGTTTGAACTCCAAGTTCAAAAGTTAAGGACAAGAAGTCCTTAACTTTGAATTCCAAGTTCAAAACTTAAGGACATGATGTCCTTAAGTTTCATTTCAAAGTTCAAAAGTTAAGGACAAGAAGTCCTTATCTTTCAATTCCAAGTTCAAAATTTAAGGACACAAAATCCTAAAGTTGGACTAACTGAAATTACCTTGATTTCGTTCTCAATCTTTTTTTTTTATACAACAATTTTCTGATTAACTCTGGTAACTTCTGCTTGCAAATCCTTCTTAAAACTCTCTAATAATCTCTGAATCAAAAAACATAATATAAAAAAAAAGGTGTTCGTAAGCAAGAAATAATCAAATAAAAAACTAATACTATTCAAAGGCAGAAACACATACTCTAACAATTTCCTTAAGTACGCCTTCGTCAAATTGTGTGGAAGAAGACCTTGAGCCTCGATCTTGTGAAACTGGCTCCTCCACACAAAGAGGCTCTGTATCTTCTTCTTCCACGGGAATAAAGGGTGACACCTCAATCAACTTAAACACCTATTATATAAGAAAAACTAAACATAAGTATACATAACTAAAACAAATAAACAAAAAAAGAGATAGTAATTACATTAACTTACTTTTTTATTATGGAAATATTTTCTACAAAGAGCATCAAATTGTGGAGACTTCATTTCAGAATAACATAACATTCGAGGATAACCAACTTCTTTGAAGTTCACAAATTGTTTCTCTTGGAAAATAGGAAGTACTTCCATAATCCAGACACAAAACGCAAAAGGAAAGCCAACTAAAGTGTAGCTATCAATATCTTTTTCTTTCTCTTTCTCCTTCTGAACATCATTCTCATTTGATTTCAAGCAACTCTTCAATGATTTTAATAGCGTCTCATAAGCAAGAGAGCCCCAGTTGAAGGAAGCGCAAAGTGCATCATCGTCAACAATTTTCATTATTTGCTCCGACACATTCCTATTTTTCCTCTTGCCCATCAAAACCGACTCAACAAAATAGAGTGTTGCCAACTTCAAAGCATCATCATCACTGCCAGCAAATGATGAAGTTGTACCATGTGGGCGACTAGAAATAAAACTATACAAATCAGCCAACTCAATTTTGTCCTTTCCAGGGAAATAGACTCTTAAAAGCCTATTCTCTTTCTCATTTAAACCTTTCATGTCAAGCGACGAATAAGACTTCAAACCAGTAATAATATGGAATGCATCACGAGTAAACTTAATATCGCGGTCAAATACCTTGAAGGTCATCGAATCAGGTTCATTACTAACAATTTCAGAAAGCAATACACAGTGCATAAGTTTACCCGAGAACTTCACACTTTGTAATCTGAAGAAGTTGCCAAAAATACTTTCCCTCAATTTCTTCCATTGGCTATTCGACAGAAAACTTTTAATTGTTTCCTTATATTGAAAATCTCCTTTCCAATATACCAGAAAATTACGCCAATCGTCAAAATCAAAAAAATGATCGCCTTCCATTATAACACTAGAAAAGAAGGAAAAACAAACAAAGATTAGGACTTAACTTAAAATTTCAAGTTTAAAAGTTAAGCAAATACAATCCTTAACTTTAAATTTTAAGTGCAAACGTTAAAGAAATACAGTCCTTAACTTATACTTTCAACTTCCAAAGTTAAGGACACTTAGTCCTTAACTTCAAGTTTCATGTGCAAAAGTTAAGGACAATAAGTCCTTAACTTTAAATTGTAAATGCAAAGGTTAAGGAAATACAGTCCTTAACTTATACTTTCAACATCCAAAGTTAAGGACACTTAGTCCTTAACTTCAAGTTTCATGTGCAAAAGTTAAGGACAATCAGTCCTTAACTTTAAATTGTAAGTGCATAGGTTAAGGAAATACAGTCCTTAACATATACTTTCAACATCCAAAGTTAAGGACACTTTGTCCTTAACTTCAAGTTTCATGTGCAAAAGTTAAGGACAATCAGTCCTTAACTTTGAATTCCAACTACAAAATTTAATGTCGTTTCTTCTTTACATTTAATGAACACAGTTAACTGAAAATTCATAATCAGTAAGCTTATGAATTTCTACGACTATTTTTATGAAATATACCTACATAATCAAATATATTGAATCAACCACAAACACATTTCAAATTTCACACACTAAAAATTTATCAAAAACAGAATCACACAAAATATACTACACTGAATCAACATATAATGCTAATTTTTGAAATTTCACACATACTTCACACGGCATTGAACCAACTTACAAATAAAGAAAAACGAAGATGACGGAGAAGATGAAGGACAGAAGATGACGGAGAAGATGAAGATGAAGATGACGGAAGATGACGGAGAAGATGAAGGAGCAGAAGTTTAACTGAGATTGCAGTTTGCATACGAGGAAGATGAAGAAGCTCAGAACTCTGAACGAATGAAATAAGGGTTTTCGTCGATTTTGGGATTATACAAGAAATAGAGAAAGGGTAATTGTGTCTTTTCCCCCTTAGTAGTGACTATTTTTTATAAGCATTTTAAATAGTGGATAAAAATTAAATACACCCTTATTTAGTGGCTACTACACGCCATTTTCACACAAACAGTAACAACAACAAAATAATAAGTCACGAACATGGCTTCTAGCACCCATAATTGTAAAGATTCAGCCTCTAGATTTTGCTCTAAAATTCTAATGTGCGTGTTGTTATGTGATGCACGGATGCACCGCTCGAGTGTGGTCTGCATTTTTTCCAACTTCGGCATAAGTGCAATTTTGAATCTTTTTATGTTTAATTTTGATCATGAAAAAAAAAATGAATTTTGGTTTCTTTGTAATCTATTAAACTCAAATACTATTGGAAGCGCAAACTATTCTTATGCTCCAAATAACAACCAACTAACTCAAGAATCAAGGCCAATAATGGGTATCTATGCCACCGTATAATTTCACTATGTCAAATGCCTTTCAAGAATTAAAATTGCATTTGTATATCATTCACTGCAAATAACACTCATTTAATTTCTTTTGCTGGTTGTCGAAATTTTGAGTCGCCAACAAAGGGTGCTTAGACTGGATGAGACTCACACAACAAACGAGCTAGAAAGCATCGCAACTTCTTCAATTTTCGTTGTGACATAATAATATTATGGTGATAGATGGTAGATATTGTTGGGATATACTATTAAACATGCTATTTAGATATAGTATTATATTTTATTCTTTATGAAATAATTATTTATTTAATTTATTCAATTCAATAAAGTGTTATTTTAAATAGATCATTTGTTACATGTGTATCATTTTAGTTATGTAATAGACAATTTAGTGTATGGAGTCTTAACTCATGCACAGAAGATTAAATTGTTGGTTCTCATAATTAATAAACTATGTTCACAAATATTGTTGGACAAAATATCGTAAAAATAACACGGTATAGCCAGTTTTCGGACTGGTCATTCAAAAATAGTCAGCATTTACGAAGTCAATGAAAAATAGCCACTATTTTGCTGCAACAGAGACCGGTCCAGCATAATATACTGGAGTTCGGTGCACCTGTGTATGAACTCTAGCATATTATGCTGGACCAGTATACTTTGCTAATTCCAGTATAATATACTGGAGATTGGAGCACCGGTTCTCCAAACTCCAGTATATTATACTAGACAATTATACTTGCTGAAACTCCAGTATATTATACTGGAGTTCTAGTGTACTTATGTTGGAACTCCATCATATTATGCTGGAGTTCCAGCATACTTATCTTGGAACTCCAGTATAACATGCTGGAGTTCAAGCACACTTATGCTGGAACTTCAGTATAATATACTGGCATATTTTCTGAATTTTGAACAGTGTTTTTGCTCAGATTCATCTTTACATGAAAAGTGGCTAAATTTCGATTACTTTTGAAATTGGGTTATTTTTGAACGACCATTTGTAAATCTGGCTATTTTTTAATTTCTCCCCAAAATATCTTGATGATTGTAGCACAAGATTATCATATAATTTGTCTTGATTATGGGAGTAGTTTTACTCTAACTTCTTGTGCTAGTTGTCACGACCCTAAACCCAACCCGGTCGTAATGACACCTCTCGTGAAGGCAAGGCCAGCCGTCTCACTTCCAATTCACTTTAAGCAATTAAAATAATAACTACTAAGTCTTTAATTAGAAATAAAATCCCAAAATAAGCATTTAACAGTATAATTTGCGGAAAAAGCCAACACAGCCCGACATCAGGGTGTCACCAGCCATGAGCATCTAAAATAATACTACCAGTTTGAAAGTCTACTCCGCTACTAAATAACTGAATCAGAAAAGAAATAAGATAGAGGGAGGTTGCACTGGGTTGCGAATCACCAAGCAGCTACCTAGTAAACCTCCGAAGATCCGCTGGGACTGTCAACCCTCAGTAGCAGGACCTGTAGCGCCCGAATCTGTACATAGAGATGCAGGGAGTAAAGTGAGTACTTCCAACTTAGTGAGTAATAAGAATAAATGAAGACTAAACGATATAAAATCACGTTAAACACAACATTTAGCTATCAGAAGTATAACAAAATCAGTAACACAATTTAATGAAAAAATCTCATAAAACACCTTTTTAAGCAGTCAACAATAGATAGGAAAAATAACTAGGAATGGTAAACACATAAGAACTGCCCCTCGGGCACAATAACATCAAATCAGCCCCTCGGACAATATCACAGAACAATACTGGCCCCTCGGGCTATATCTCATGTCACAATGGGTACCCGCTCTAATTGGGGATGTGCAGACTCCTGGAGGGACCCCTTACGGCCAAAGCGCAATATCAAGCCATCTCGTGGCATCATAAACAGGCTCTCGGCCTCATATCAATATCAAGCCACCTTATGGCGTACAATCTCAGGCTCTCGGCCTCATTATCATAATTAGTGTATTACTACTGCAGCGTGCAGGCCGGCCCAAAAGTATCCTCACAATACAGGCCCTCGGCCTTACTCAGTCACAATCTCATAAGCCCTTCGGGCAATAGTAAAAATATGCAACCCAGCTCAAAATATCTTTAAAACAACATTTAAGGTTTCTAAAACAGATTAACATAACTGAGTTTTGAAAACATTGAAAGATCTGGCATGACTGAGCACAGTATGAAATCAAACAGTGAGGAAAATATCATTAACGATCCCCTAAGGGTTCAACCAGTTGGCACAAAGCCCAAATATGGCATTTAGCCCAAAGTATAATAATATCAAATAATTAGCTACCAAATATACAGAAAAATAGTCATTCAGGATGGACAAAGTCACAATCCCCAACGGTGTACGACCACACGCTCGTCATCTAGCGTGTGTGTCACCTCAACATAGCTGAACATTGTATAATCCGGGGTTTCATACCCTCAGAACATCATTTATAATCATTACTCACCTCGAACTAGCCCGAAAGCTACTCTACAACACGCTTGCCTCTCGAACCAACTTCTGAGTGCCCCAAATCTACCAAGTTCACTTTTTTATCATCAAATTATGCTAAACGAATGAATTCCAATGGAAAAATATCGATTTTAAGCACAAAATCCGAAATCAGTCAACCCCCCCTCCGGGCCCACATCCCGGAACTGGACAAACTTTATACCAAAATTTTCTTCATCATCTCACGAGTCCGTACATATAAAGAACTCGAAAATCGGAGTTCGTTTGCCCCTCTCAAATCATCCCTAGAAGGTCTCATAATCTCAGGCCCTAACTCCACCTTTTTCTACTGATTTTCATGAATTAAACACTGATATTTTGTTCCTTAATCACAAATAATCGAGTTTTAGGGTCCAAAATCCTTACCTCAATGAAAAACAATGATTTCCACTCTTCAAAATCGCCTCAAAGCTCTTTCCCCGTTCAAAAAATGGTGTAAAAGGGTTTAACGGTCGCGAAGGGTTTATTTAAATACTGCTCACGCGTTACTGTTCACCAGAGTACTGTTCACTCGAGTTACTGTTCATGCTGATGTGAAAAAATGCAGCAACTTTTCTTCTAGTCTAAATTGATCTGTTAAACTTTCGAGATCTATCAGAGGCCCTTGAAAATTTCAACAAATATACCAATACGTCCCATAACATCATTCAAACTTAGTAGAGCCTTCGAAACACCAAAAACAACATCAAAACACCAAAATCACATCAAATTCAAGCCTACGAATTTTGAAATTCCTAAATTCCACCAACGATGTTGAAACTATCCAAAACAACTCCGATTGACCTGAAATTTTGCAGACATATCCAAAATGACATTACAAACCTGTTCCAACTGTCAGAATTCCATTCCGACCCTGATAGACTATTTTCCACTGCCGACCGAAAATCGCCAAAAACTAACTTTCGTCAATTCAAGCCTAATTCTACACCGGACATCACAAAAATATTTCGGACATACTCTTAAGTCCCAAATCACCTAAAGAAGTTATCCGAGCCAAAAAAATCCGCATTCCGAGGTCGTTTACCAATAAGTCAACTTTTGGTTGACTTTTCTAA